ACATTAATTGTTTTTTATCTATTGTTATCTTTCAATTATAATTATTTTTATTTATAAGCAATTAATTTTACAATTTAAAAATATTTATATTTTATATACTTATTATTTTAAAAAATAAAAAACAAAGCGTTGCACATGCCAATGGATACTTAAAATAATAGATGGGCTTCTGGTAAGTGACACTGATCCATGATTATTTATATGGGCTAATTCTTGGTCCAGTATAATAAGACTTTATATGGCTTTTATGGGCCCAATAGAACTTTCTTTCAACCCGAGCAAAGCCTTTTCTGCTCAAAGGTTCCCGAAACAAAGTTCAAAATCAAAACGTTCAAAAATTGGTCAGGAGGAATTAAAAAAAGGGGGCAGCATTTCTCACCTGCAGAAGCTAGCTAGTGGCCATGGCGATGGTTGTGGACTGCCAACACGACTTGTCGTTTCCCTACTGGACCTCGACTCTTCGTCGTTTTGATCCCGACTCTCCCTTCTTCTCTTCTGGTAACATCGAGAGAGAACTTCTCGCCAAACAGGTCATTTCCTTCTCCTTTTCAATTTTCATCCACTGTCTGTTCTAATCAAGGATCTAATTTGAATAATTATACATTATGAAGTTATAATTTGATTGGGTTTTCATTATTTTGTCATTTTCTTCTTCTGTTTATGGTTGGTCAGTTTATTTAAGTGAAGAAAGGTGCAATTTTTTAGAGAACACTCAAAAGATTTTTTTTGGGTGAAATTCAGGTTGCATTGGATTTAACTGAAGATGAAAGAAATCAGCTTGAGAAGATGGTAGATAAAGATGCCAGGTTTTATCTTTTATTGCTATATGCAAGTTCTAATTTACTATATTATTTGATGATTAATTTACTAATTACTAGTTGTTAGTGATCATGAAAAGAGCTAGTCTACGCAGAGTTTTTACATAGATTGAAAGGGCCTCAAAAATTATATGTCATGAATCTGTGAATTTGTCAAGGTTTTGTGATTTGGTTGGACTTCCGTCTAGTATGATGTATAATAGAATAGCTGTTGTTTCGGGTTCTATGTAGTGATAGGGGCATAATGCTTATGGAAATGGAGGTTTTGTTATATGGGAAAGATGATAAAGCTTCTGAAGTTGAATGCTGTTTATGGAATTAAGTGTTCGGTTTGTGTGTTAATTTTTGCAACTAATGGTTGAGCAGGGGTGTCTTTTGTCCGATTGTTGGTTGTGGTGCACGACTGATTTCTTTGGAGGACTTTGAAGATCATTATAATGCTCGACATACTGCTTCTTGTTCTGTGTGCTCTAGAGTTTACCCAACATCTCGCTTGCTAAGTATACATGTGTCTGAAGTCCATGATTCCTTCTTTCAAGCAAAAGTTGCTCGTGGCTATGCTATGGTATCTTTTTCTATTCAACTTGTATATTGGTGTTTGGGAAATTTTTTAATGGATTTCTCCCTTTCTTTTTGTTCTATTAAAGAATCAATTTGATCACAATTGGGTAAGTGCAATGAGTATAGAGCTATAAGGCTCCAGACGAGACAATTCAAGTAGTTTCATGTGTTTTTTTTTTTTTACTTTATCACATTAACTTGACAACAATCTGGTCTCCTGATAAGGGGGCTAGTCACACTTAGAATTGTGAAGGATGAAGGGACTATTAATTTGTTTAGTGGAGCATGACTTAGAATGTGTTTGTTTTTAGATCCGTATGATGTCAACTTTCCATACTTGAAATGTTTAGTAGTTTTTTGTTAATCGCAATGTTGATGTACTTTAATCAGTCTTCAGTATAATTTGGTTTAACACAGTTATCCTCCTATCTTTGTGTGTAACAGTATGAATGCCTTGTTGAAGGTTGTGGTTTGAAGTTCAAGAGCTACAAAGGACGGCAACAGCATCTGGTCGACAAGCATAAATTCCCAACTTCATTTGAGTTCTTCAAGAAGGCACATCCATCCAAGAAACAGAGGCAGAAAAACCACCGGAAACAAGCAATGCATAAGAAGGATGAAGAAGCTTCAAGTAAGATGGAAGTAGAAAATGAAACGATGGATGGCCTTGTTTCAGCAGTCTCTAAATTAAGCACTTCAGACTCCTCTCCTTCAACTGTTAGCTTTGGTCGCCGTCATACTCGTGGTCTTCCATTTGTTCCTCGATCTGTCCAGCATGAGAAAAGAGCCGACTCCACACCAGCTGGGGCAAAGAGATAGACAGCTCATGTTCTTTCCACATTTTCCTGTCAGCGACTTCTGCAACCGATATTGAAATTGCTTACAGTCAAGTTTCTAGAAGGAATGAAGGATCTGCAAATGCAATGGATGATTCATCTGATTGGCATTTCGAAAGGTCAAAAGTTTGTTAATTGATCATAAAATTTTGATGTCCCTTTTGATGTTGATGCCTCAAGATCATTCATTTGTATTGCATTGCTATAAATGCAGCATCTAGGATCTCTTGTAATAGATTTCATACAAACTTATGCCTTGTTGAATATTGAGGAATCCTTTGCAACATGAGCAGTAATTTTTTTCTTAAAACTTATATTTGATACGTTGTCAGTATATAAATTTTGTATATTATTAATAAATCAAAAATTATCATTTCATTAATAAAATAAATTTAAAATAAAAATATTTATTTTGAAAGATTTTTTAACTTTTATTTTTGGATATCTATAAGATGACTTTCTTTAGTTAAGTGATAATAATAAAACAAATTGCTTTAATACTACTAGAATTAAAAATATGCTTTTAGTTTTCATTAAAATTGAAAATGAAAATGTAACAAAAATTTAATTTTTTTAAACAATTTTAATCTTCCTCATTATAAACAAGAAAATAAAGATTAATTTCATTGCAGCCAAAAAGGGCAAATCTGTCATTTCATATGAACAAGTGGGGGGTATTTGAGTCTAATAGTAATCGCCCAATCTTATATATGAATCGCAGATCATAAATAAAGTCAGGAACTTTCTCTCAAAGGGCAAAGCAAAATCTGAAAAACAAAAAAAGAAAAAGAACAAAAGCAAAATGGACGCAGTTGACTCAGTTTTCGATCCGCTAAGGGAGTTCGCTAAGGACAGTGTTCGTCTGGTGAAGAGATGCCACAAGCCTGATCGGAAAGGTTACTCACTGCTCCAATTTTCTCTCTTTTTCTTTTCTTTTCTTTCAGATTATTAGATTTCGTGGATCGACCAAAATTCTGATTGAAGGATTCATTTTTTGTTTTTGGCTTCAGAATTTACGAAGGTGGCGTTCCGTACAGCGATCGGATTCGTGGTTATGGGATTCGTAGGGTTTTTCGTCAAGCTCATTTTTATTCCTATTAACAACATTATTGTTGGATCCGGTTAGGTGCGGTTCGGTTCCTTCAATTTCTAATTTATTTTTCATGTTATTTTGAGGTTACTGTCGTAATTATTATGGATCTATCACTGATGCGTTATTAATCTAAATTTATGTGAATTATTTCAAAAAATTAAAGATTGTGAAACGAAATTTCTGGATTTTGGAAGTCTGAACGCTATGAAACTGAAACTTATGTGAATTTAGATTTTGAATGGTTTGCTAAACCAGGAAGATGAATCAGTTTAAGTAAACAGAACTATTTTTTATTGATGAATTTTTGCTTTGCATCTTAGGGGTCAGTATTATGTAGAAAGAATGATTAAACAATTGTTTCATAGTTAAAGAATAAGAAAGAGAAGAAAAATCCTTTCTTTTCGTGGTGATTTTGTCTTCAAAACCTTCAAGGATATTAAGCACAACTTTTCCACGCAATTGTTTCTTTTTCTTTTTGCACTCAGTTTGCAGCAAAAAATGGTCATCAAGCACTAATTTTCACTAGTTAGCAATAGAGTGGTTGAAACTTGCATTTTTGGTAAAAGAATGAGAAGGGATGCTTAGAAGACGGGCAATATCTTAGATCATCTTTGGTCAAGCTTATCAAGGTCATAGACATAAAGGATTAAGGATCTATTACATGTCGAATGGATGGATTTTGTGGGGTTAGCTATTGAATCTGTTAGGTGAAGTTTTCGAAATCCTATAGTCCCAGAGGATGTTTAGCTCAACTTCTTTTTGCTCAGAGTTTGCACCATAAATGGTCATCAAGCACCAATTTTGCTTTCACAAATTTTCAATAGAGTGGTCGAAATTCACATTTTAGGTAAAAGAATGAGAAAGGAGGAGCAAGCTTAGAAGATGGGGAAGTTAGATCATCTTTGGTCAAACTGTTCTTGGTCATAGATATAAAGGATTAATGATATTCCATGTCAAATGGATGGATTATATGGGGTTAGGTATCGAATATGTTAGGTGCAGTTGTTTTTGAATCCTTTAGCTCTGTGGCATCCATCTCAAGATAAACCAAAATAATGGCAGCTTAACAAACTGATACAGACATTAGTTTCTCTGCTTTGAATAAGACTCTCTGAGAATATACATCACAAACATCTCCATCTATTGATTATTGTGCTTTGATCTATAATTTGCCACATTTTATTTGTACTTGTGTTTGATAGTTTTGGGGGATCATGCTTACTCTTAATCTTTTGTTCAAATTGCAGAAGGGAACCATGCTACTGACTCAAAGGAAGGATGGGAATTGGTACAATTTTTTAGCACGGGGAGAAAAGAAAGATCTGCATGCTTTAGATTGAGAGATACATCATGTGAGTGCATGGACTAATTTCATTTCAGACTTGGGTTTTCTTTATATTCTTTTTTGTTGAAAATGGTTTAGATGTTAATGTTGTAATAGAATCTTGTTGAAGCTGGTACAATCTTAAGACTTTTGGTCCAATGAATTATATGTTTCATGCACTTCTTGCTGCACTGCCAATCCAACTCCAATCCGTAATTTTTTTATAATACAAGGGTATCCTTAGGTTGTACTTGCATTTAATCCCTTTTTCGAACGATTAAAGGGTGCACACTCTTCTATATTGATTTTTCTATATCGATGTTATGTAATTAAGATGTTACCCTCAGAATGCTTATCGTAAGAATAAAAAATGATGTCTAGTTTTTGGCCTTGTCCTTTGAAATGCATCCCTGTGGTATGTTTTACTCGTTTGTTCACATAGCGTTCACCTTGGAAATGACAACCACCAAAATAGGTAATCTTAAAAATGGCTAAGTCAGTTATAGCCTTAAATGCAATTTAAACAAAACTTGCCAATCCAGTTTTTACTGGATGAATTGCAGAAACAAACAATATCAAAATCAGGTCGGGTGGAGTCTCGGATCATCGAGTCAACCCGATTTTGATAACTATGATCCAGTTCTATTCTGATAACTATGATCCAGTTCTATTCTGATAACTATGATATCAATATCATTTAGCATTAGGAAGGTGTCAGATGAATGGAGCTGCAGTCCCGCAATGGAGAATGTCAGTATCATTTAGCAATGGCCAGGGGTTAGATGAATGGAGCTGCATTTGCTGAGTCTACCATAGGTTAATGCATGGTAAGAATGTCAAGACATCTTCCCATTTTACTCCACGTTATGAAAGTTGTAAACTCCATAGGCTAAGTTGCTCTAACAATATCACATCAGGAAAGTTAGTAAACTTAAAAATCAAATGCCAAACATACACAAAAGGTTATCTTCCTACTTTCACAAGATTATAAAATGAAACTAGACAACAAATTTTGCAAAATGGTTACAGCAAGTTTGTACACTTTCAGAGGGACCAAAATATAGACCCAATACAAAAGTAAAAGAATAGGTGTAGGTTGGCAGTTTCAATCAGCAAACAGGGTTGCTATCTGAGGCATCAGCAGCAGAAGCAAGCACGAGTTCTGGCTGAGCAAGACTTCCTTCCTTCCTAGCCTTGCTGCGTTCGCGGCGCATCCTGAAGTACTCTCTCTTCCTCGCTCTGTAGCTGTTGGGATTCTCAGGCTGAACTACTCGCGGATAAACACTCACCTGTCAGTCACAATAAGCCCATAATCCATGTCAGCTTCAGGTACATAATCAACTTCTGAGAGCATGAATTCGTGTCAGAGTGTTTTAAAAAATTCGACCTTCTTCTTGTCAGGTCCAAACTTCTCAAATTTCACAAGCCCATCAATCAAGGAAAAGATGGTATGATCCTTGCCAAGACCCACATTTTTCCCTGGATGAAACTGATCAAGAAATCCAAATCTCATTCGATGTAAGCTGTCATAGCTAAAAAGCTTTATCATTCTAATCCAAAAAAAAAAAACCCAACATAAAATTAAATAAACTTAACAATTCCAAGCATAAAATTGAACAAACAAACAAAAAAAAAATATTCGAGAAACTTTTCGAGGATTTCACACCTTGGTTCCTCGTTGCCTGACGATAATAGCGCCGGGCTTCGCCACCTGGTCGCCAAAGATTTTGACGCCGAGTCGTTGACCTCTGGAATCGCGACCGTTCTTAGTACTCCCGGCTCCTTTCTTGTGCGCCGATTCGATCGTCAGACGGAACGGAGACTTCCTCGGGAAGGAAGCGGTCGCAGTTTTGGGAATAGAGCCGAGTTCGCCTTTCGAAAACGACGACGTCGAGCTGGTTGATAGAGAAAGTCCACTAAACGCACCCACCAAATTGAAGCTCATTGTTGCAGTCGCCATTTCCTTTGAAAAATTTAACAGAAAATTGAAGTTAGCATATGGAATTTTAATTTACTCCTTTAAATTTTGTTTAGGGTTCAGTTTCGGACTCACAGTTGAATTCCGAAGAGAATAAAAGAGGAGGCTGGAAACGAAGATGGGGAGGGGGGCGGGGGCTTATCGTTAACTTATAAAAAAAAGCTGCCACGTCAGCAGTTCAGTCACACTTCAAAATGTTTTTTTTTTTGTTTTTGGGATTACTATATTTTGGGCTTGAATGCTATAAAAGAATTTTTAAAAAATATTTTTTGGGTTTTTGTTATTTTTTTTATAGATATATACGAAATACTTCATTTTTCATGCAAATCTAGGTAAGATTAAAACTAAAAATATGGAAAAGACCACAAACTATATTAGTTTTACATCACTTTATATTTTTTATATAATTTATATTCGATTAATTCGACCCTTAATGAGTTTTGATATTGTATTCACATAAATCATGTAGGTCAAATTGTTAATTAAAATTTAAAATTATTTAATTATTTATTTTATATATTTAAATTTTTTATTTATAAATATATATTTAAAAAGATAATATTCTCAATCGATTTTAAATAAAAATTAAATTAACTTCAAAATTTATGTACATGACAAATATGAGTAATTTTTTAAATGTAATAATTAATTTTTTAAAAAACTATTTTTACATAATATTTTAAAAGATTTTAAAAGTAACTATAGTTGCATTGGTATAATTTTTATTTACTACTACCGTTTATTTTGTGATGTCTCTAATTCATATATTTCATCTAAACTATCGTGGCAAATGGAAAGATTAAGCCTTCTGATGTCTTGAGGATTTTTATTAGTTGTACAAATAAAAAGAATCAACTTGCTGTTAGGTGGGTAAAAGGCCAGGTTCAACGACAAGATGAGCTTTTTTGTGTTTTTGAGTAGGAAGAGTATGGTGGAATGAAATGCACAAATACCAGGTTTTCGGTCTGTCTCAAATGCTTCAACACCAAGACTCAGGTTTGATCTTTTCACTCTCTGAATTTTTTTGATCTATGAGATGAAGGCCTGGGGATAGATTGCTTTTGTGTATATTGGGTCTTTATTTTGTTGATAAATGTGGTAGGAATGATGGATGATTTATGGGTCTGTTGCAGTGCCAAAGTTGTTTTTGTTTCTCATTTGGCTGTGTATTGGAAGGGTACAGGGGTATGTTTCTTTTTTATTTTTTGGGTATATGATTGTCAGATCTTACAGGTGAGTTTTTGAGGATCATGATCTTTAAGATGATATGCTATTGGGAATAGCATTTTTTTTTGGGTACTTGTCAGGAAACTCTTGATTCCCTGTTTAATCAATGAAATCCTTAATTTTCAAAAAAAAAAAAACTTTGCAGTCATTGTTTTTGCATGCATGTTGCTAAATATCTAGATGATTCTAAACATTTTGTTAGTGTAATGGTTCTACTTAAACATTTTTTTAGAGTCAAAATCCCCAAAAGAAGAGATAGGCACACCCTTTTTGTTTCTTGAAAAACTTCCTCAATTTGTTAATAAAAATGAATTACACAAAGCAATCCTACAGCAAGCAACCCAAGAATAGTTGATAACAAAGAAATAACCCAGCAAAACTATGTAAAACAAAACACCTATACATCCAGTGTCGACAGCAAAACAAACCCACACACTCCTAGGATCTACAAATTTTATGATTTTTTTGTAATACTTAAGAATATTCATGGCTTTCCAAAAATGCCAACCAACTCTATCACTATCTTTCGCACAACAAGTAACATTTCCACCTTTAGGTAGCAATGCAATATTAATCTTGCGAAATCGACATACAACTCACAACCTCTACAATGGCCAAGATTCAGGTTCATCAACTCAAAGTCCATGACACCTACTTGTAGAGTATTCATGACTTACGACAACCCCAGAGAGTTTTAGTTGGTTGGGCACAGCTAAGGAAGGCTGTGATGGCATTTAAGGAGCATCCGAATTTGGCAAGAACATCCAAAGCATAGAAAGCATTCCTTGGTAGAAACAAGGGAATGAACAGTTTTCTCAATGGAAAGAACACTATCTGCATGTAAGAAAAAAAAAGTAAGTGAAATCTTTGGCCCGTAAAAGTAGTTTATACATATGTTACATGTTTAGAATGGCCTACAATAAAACTGTCTTTTTGTTTTCTTCCCTCAAAAATTTTACAATTACCATTTTGATGAGAATAAACTACTTTTCCTAGACACTTACATTTTTTTAATTAGGCACTGATTCATAGAAGCAAGAACTAAGCCTATATAAACAACATTGTTTTAAGAGAAGCCTCTCGCAGCAATGTCTTTATTCATTTATAATCACTCCGTCCAATGATGCTTTCATCAACCCCAATTCATCAAAAATCATTTTAACTTGCACAAAACTTCCAAACATAAATGTTAAGTCAAAACTCAAAATTAGTTAAATTGTATATTGCAAAAGGCTTAACAACCTTTCTGGTTCATTATATCATCAAGTAGACTACTTGAGAATGACTACCTAAAAATGATCTGGCATTTCTTCAAAAGGTCCATAATAACTTGCATAAATTGATTTTCTATACTCTTTGCAACTTCAAAATTTCCTCAGTTAACAACCATATCCATTCCTTACAAGAACACAGTACATTAGTTCCAAAAATGATATTATTTTCCTGTTGTCTGAAAGTTGGTGTTCCAATATCCAGTAGACAAGGTTCCCATTCAGGTATCATAAATTGTAAACTAAGGCTTACCTCAAATGTAATTCATTCAAAGAAACTGATTGATTGCGAAGATGCCATGAAATTTGGTCCTTGCAACTAAAATAGGATTAAATGTCTGAGGAGAAGGGAAAATTTTACATAAATAATTTCGCTGCGTCCAAAAAAAAAGAGATTGTGTTATATGAATTATGATACCATAAACCTTGCAAAGAGCAATGCTTGAGAAATAAATGTGCATATTTGGCTTTGTAACATTGAGCTCTTTTTTGTATACTAAATAGACAAAAAATTATGAAAATGATTTACCTGAATCACAAACAACCAAGGTCCTTTGGCATCTCTTGCATTTCATTGCTCAAATTAATCATTTGTTGATGCTCTATGGTGAGTGACCACTTGAGATACCCAATGCAAATTGTCTATGTCCTGCTTTGGCTGGTTTTCAGTTTCAAAAAATCATTCCCACCATTCACGTGCAATGAGTTGAAGCTGAGGGAAAGAACGTCCTTTTCATGTGACTGGACAGAGGAAAATGTAGCTAAAGTAGCAATTTCATAAAGTAACAGATCAGTGGAAGCCTTTACTTAGAAATCATATCATTTTCTGCAAGGTATTGAGCTATGTATGCTTTCTTTTCTGTGCAATATGTAACGAACTACAAGACCAAGTATCATCCCAAATCATTGTCCTGAAAAATGACAAAGAGGAAGTTACTCTTTTTTACCAAAGAATGTGCATTTCATAAGAAGCTTTTACCTCTTTCTTTTTAAAAAATTAAACTGAATCAATGAAAGAAGTCCACATAATATGTTAAGATGTAGTTCTTTCAGCTTTAGACCATCAGAAAGGTTTTATGCCATTCATACCTTTCGAGTTGTTAAAAGCTGCATTGCATTACCTTTATTTATTTTTTTTGCAGTCAAGGTCTATTCTACATGGATATCAACCTAGTATTGCAATTTTATAGCTCTAGAGCTTATAACAAAGCAGCTGTGTTTGTCTATATGTGAGTACATAAGCAGAGAAACAGACGATGATGATAATGGATTAATATGAAGAAAATTTTATGGAGGATGTTAGCTATAACGGGTTTGGGGAAAACCTCATAAGGTACACATACCTAGATACAATTTGTTTGCTTCTAATACAGCAGCAAGGGATTATTCTGTTGTTAGTAGATGTTTATTCTTATGCAATTAAGGAGGTAGGCCCAATCACTGTTCTACATGCCAAGACTTGTTTCAGATTCCTGCAATACAAAATTGTAACCGAACCATTGATAATGAATGCCAATGCTACTAGATCAAATTTATGATATGTAGTGAACCTTATAAGGAGAAATAAGATGAGATTAGAAAATTCAGAGCATATCCTAGTTTGCAGCAACTATCCTTTCCATTTTAAAAATATTGCCAAGTTTCAAAAGAAAATTTTTACCTGCGGCCTTGGAAACATGAATTTTGATGAAGTCACCTACATCTTCTATGATTCCTTTTCCCATTCCATTTGCGATCTTCAAGCCATTTGTTTCCCATCTCATTCAACACTGTATATCCAACACATAACCCAATCACCAATCCACATCCATAACCAATCAACACAATTTTCCAATCAGATATACCATCTACCAATGAATCTGCATCTTCCCCTGGAGGTGGCAGTCGAACACCAACTTCATTGCATTTCCTTGTCAAAGGCGACCCACATAATCTTGGGTTCCCTCGGTAAGAATCATTGGAAAATGTATTGAATTGGTTACTTTGTGGTATGCTCCCTTCGAGGTTGTTGTAAGACAAGTCTAATGCTGACAAGAAAGTTAGACTCGTAAGTTGTGGAGGAATTTTCCCTGAGAGTTTGTTATGTGAAAGGTCCAAAGACTCAAGCTCTTTTAGGTTCTCAAGTGCTAATGGAATTTGGCCAGAGAAGCTATTTTGAGATAAGTTTAGCACTATGAGTGATGTGAGACTTTGTATTTCATCCGGTATTCTACCATGGAAACTATTATTGGAAAGGTCAAGACAAGTAAAAATGGTTAAGATCTTCTCTAAAACCATTTCCAGTCCTTTGATGACAATTGTCACGGAGTCTTGATAGTTCTCCTCTCCAATATAATCTAGCTTTGCTTTGTTGCCATCAGTCCTTGCCATCATTGCTCTCAAACATTGCAAAAATTCGACGGATAACTCACCTGAAAAGTTGTTGGAAGCAAGGTCCAATATCCGTAGCATTGGAAAAGCATTTTCAGCCTCAGAAACTTGAATCGTGCCATAAAATTTATTCCCTAGAAGTACGAGAACCTTCAAAGAAGGTAATTTTCCCAACCAAAAAGGAAACGTGTCATGTATCATATTTTTTCCAAGGTCCAATACTTCAAGCTTTGTGCAATTGGCTAATGACCTCGGCAACTTCCCTTCCAATTTATTCCCACCGATTTTCAGCGACCTTAACTGAGTAGCTTGAAGGGAATCAATGGATAGCTCACCAGAGAATTCATTAGAAGCAATGTCCAATACATCCAAAGCTGGGAAAAACAGTTTACGTTTGAAACGTTTAATTTGACCATAGAATTTATTTTCTCGCAATACGAGAACCTCCAAAGCAGGCAGTTTCTCCAACCAAAAAGGGAATGTGTCATGCATCATGTTGTTTCCCACGTCCAAAACTTGGAGATAAGTGCATTTGGCTAAAGATCTTGGCAACTTCCCTTCTAATCTATTCTCATTAACTTTGAGGATCTGTAAATTGGCTGCTTTTACAAAAGTTGGTAAGAATCCGGTGAAGTTATTTCCTTGTAAGTCCAGCAAAGAAAGAGCGTTGATATTGCCCAAGCAATTTGGAATTGAGCCGCTCAAATTGTTATAAGAGGCATTAAAATAGTCAAGTTGACTCAAATTGCAAATAGGTCTTGGGGAAGAGCCTTGTGAAGAAGTTACAGACTGGTTGGATAATTGGTCCAAAGATGAAAGGTGGTTGTTGGAAAGATCCAGTTGCCACAAACTTTTTTTCCACACCCAGTGTGGTACTGCACCACTTATTTTGTTATTTGAAAGGTCAAGATCTTCTAAATTATCTTGACTTTTTAAAATCTCTGGAAATGTACTTATATTACACGATCGTAAAGCCAACCACCGCAGCATTGGAATAGAGGAGTTTGCATCACCACGTGGAAACTGTTTCGGAAAATCAATCGCATTGAAAGAAAGGTCTAACCCTTGAAGAGTGCTCTTCCACAACCAATTGGGCACAAAACCACGGATTTGGTTGTTAGAAAGATCTAGATAAACCAACTTGTCTTGTGTTTTGATGAATTCCGGAAATTCAGTAAGGTTGCAGAACCTTAGGCTTAGCTCCTCTAATTGGGGAAAAGTGACGCTTTTGTTGTCGCTTCCAATTGACAAGCTCATATTGAAAAGGTAAAGATACCTTAAGTTCTTGAGTTGAGAGAACATGTCAAGCTTCAAAGAACCAACGTTATTGTAACTAATACCAAGTCCTTCAAGCCTTGGGAATTGAATGATTAACTTTGAGATTGATCCACTTAAGTAATTATGGCTTAAATCCAAATTTTGCAGCAACGAGCAAGATGCATTGGGGAACTCATCAATTTTCCCAACCAATTGATTAGATCCAAGATACAAGGTATTCAATGATAGGAGGGTAAATATGGAAGAATGTACAGGCCCAGAAAAGTGGTTCCATTGCAAATCTAGATACTCAAGATTTGGAACTCCAGATCTATGGAATGGAGGGATTAAACCACTGAAGTTATTAGAACATAGCTTCAATTTCACAAGGTTTGTGAGATTTGCAATTGCTGATGGAACCTGTCCAAAGAAATTGCAGCCACAGAGATCTAAAATTGTCAAGAACTTAAGATTACCAAGGGATTCGGGTAGTTTTCCACTAAAGCTTGTTCCACGGAGTGATAAGACTTGTAAGGTACAATTTAATGGAAATTCTGGCAACTGACCGTTAACATTTCCATTTCTTGAAATATTAATGCTTTGCATTTTGGGCAATAAGAAAACTTCGACTGGAAAATGCCCACTCAAATTGCAATTAAATAGACTGAGAGAAACCAGTCGAGAGGAAATTTTCAAGAAATTGTGAGGCAAATAAGAGATTGGGTTACTGTTGAGGTTAAGTTTCGAAAGAAAATGAAGTCTTGAGAGAGACGAACAAAATGAACCTGTCAAACCACAATCGGACATGCTTAACACACGTAGCTTAGGAAGTGCTAACGACATGGTTTCACACCAGTTAGTACTTTGAGTTGAAATGTTCACCCCATCCAAATAGAGTTCTGTGAGAGACTTCATATGCTTGATTAAAGTCTTGAAATTTGGTTTCTCTAGTTTTAGAGAAGGAAAATAATCACCGTACGATCCAATGCTTTGATCATTCCTCCAATAGCAAGAATCTTGATAAGATAGATCAAGAGAGACTAACCTTGTTAAGTATGAGATCCCCATTGGAATTTGGCCATTGAAACAGGACTTTGAAAGGTTGAGATGAGTCAAATTTGCAAGTCTATCAAATCGAGATGGAACCAGAGTAATATTAAAGTTGTTTCCAGCAAGATTAAGCGATTGGAGATATTGGAGATCAAAAATGGAGTGAAAGCTGCCAGAAAGGTTTTTGTAGTTGAGATCAAGCCCAATCACATGACCATGAGCATCACATGTAACTCCTTTCCAAGAGCAACAATTAGTGTTGACATCCCAAAGCTTAGCTTTGGAAGAAAAAGTAAAATTAAATGAGTAGTAAAGACCTCGTTGCAGTTGCAACAGAGCAGATCTCTGGTCATCAAGGCATTGGCTCTGGAGAGTCTGAGATGGGCTAAGTGACAGCACAATAGTCAAGGAGCATGACAGGAGAAAGAAGGTAGCCAAAAAGAGTGAAAGGATGTGAAGGTTCTTCATGTTCGCTTGCATGCTACAAAATGAAGGAAGATAGGTGGCTTGTGGAGTTTTAGATTTCCCTTACAGGATATTTATAGACAACTTCACATTGTTACACCATCGTTAATGCTAGTTGTTTTAACATAGATAGGTTCAAATACAATTTTCCAAAAACGTGTTTGTACAAAAAGTCTGAGCTTTGTATGGCAGTTGAATGAAATTAAGTGGAGGACTTTTTTATTGCTTGATTGTTACTCTGTCAAAAGTGATCTTCTTAGCAGTCGCACTACCACTAAGCAGAGAAAGATACCAAGTAAACCATTTTGCTTTTTCCTTTTTAGTTTTATTTTTAAATTTCCATCAGATAGCTAGGTTTCTTGATTATTAGCTGTTCTAATCCAAGATATAATTTTAATTATTAACATTTCCAATCCAAGATATAATTTTAATCAATTGGTACTTCTGTTCATAATCCATGGCCCATGCCAATGTCTTGTGAATTTAAAAATATATATATTAAAAATTATAAACATCAACAATACAAGAAGCTAAAAAATTTTAATGTAAAAAAATAAAATGAAAGAAATAAGATATAATTTGAATCATTTCCTGAATTATAATGTGAACATTTAATCTGAAAATGTTAAAGGAAGAGAAAGTTTCTTTTCTCATTGTAGAACAAATTAGTTTTTATACTTGGTTTTCTAATCTTTGCCCCTGACATGTGTTTCCTGCTTTGCTTTACGTCTCATTCCCAGGTTGTTGCACACGCATTCGCTTTTTGAGAAATTTCCTAGAAATTCTTCCACTGTAAAAGTGTCCTATTGTGAAGCAGTAGGTATTTTGAAAAAGTAAGAGTGATGCAAGTCTTTTTCCAATTATGGATGTTTACATCTTATGGAGAAAATAATTTATTTTTCAATCAACGGTCTAATATATACCAAGTTATCAGCTTCAACCCTTAGAAACGGAATACTGATGGACACAAGCAAAGAATAAGACATGAGAAAGAAAAAGCTGTGGAAATTTTCATGGTAAATTATAAAATTCTTCACTTTTAAATATACAATTTGAGAAGGTAAATAGTAAATATACCATGGATTCTTACATATAACAGGCTAACAATGAAGCTAGACAATAGTAAATCAAGTGTAGACGTACCTTGGTCTGAATAAAGGAGATACCCTCCTTCGAGCAATCTATTGAATCTGCTCTGATGATAAAACTGATGCCTTACTGTCAAAGGAAACCATAGTAGGGCAAAACATATAGTTTAAATCGTGGCTACAAGCACTGTAAATCAGGAAAAAGAAGTATAAAACGACTTGCAAATTGTTTCGTAGTCAGTAAGATACTTGTTAAATCTTTTACTAGATAGTGAATTTTATTTTAATCCATACATACGCTTTCAAATATGTACACGATATCAACATTTATTCTCCTATTTGAAATATATTAAGTATGTAAGTGTATATAGTGCATGGAATTTTTTGTAACAGACAAAATGCACCCCTCTCTACTAAATTAAAATAATCATCCTTGTAATCTTTATCAGGCCGTGCTTCGAACCCGCCTTCGGCTCTCTTGTCAAGTGAATAAGGCATATAGGTTCCAAAATTCTATCTCACAAGCGCAAGAATGGTCGAGAGAAGGTGTATTTGCCCCTATAAAGCTGATGCATTTTTCAAAAAGCGTGTTTGTACAAATGAGCTTGTGCTATGGTATAGCAATTGAATCAAATTTAGTGAAAGACTTTTTTATTGCATGATTGTTACTCCATGAAAAGAAAATGAATGAAGCAGAGACTTGCTGATCATATGTTTTGTCTTACAATGAAAGACTTTTCCAATTCTTTGCACAAATCACTTTAACGAAGTCTTTATCTCTAAGAGTACTTGAGAAAGTTCACTAAAATAGCCTAAATGCAGATGTAGATATTGATAAACAGTCCCAATTAATTAACTTGTAACAAAGTTATCATAAATGGCTTTTCAATTCTTTGAAAATAATATAATTTTCAATGAGCGATCTAAGATATTCCAAGTTATCAACTCCAACCTTTAGAAACGGAATATTGATGGACATGACGAAAGAATAAGACATGAGAAAGTTGGCACAAGCAGTGGAAATTTTGATGATATGTTACGAAATTCTTGACTTTTAATTATACGATTTGAAACGACATCATGAATAAAAAAATCTTTAAATTTAAATTTCCAAACATCTTCAATTTACTGAAATCAAGATGAATAAGGCAGAGACATACCGATGGATCAGTTCAGATGTCATGCCTTGTAATGGAGGCCTTTCATATTTAGACAAACAATTAAAAAAAATAGAAGAGAGAAATCCAATTAACCAAAAAACTTTATATATTAAAAAATGTAATCAACATCTTGACTAGTCAAAAGCAATAGGATGATCCATACCCGTTTTGTACGTTGTTGACACTAAAATTAAGTACGATGGAGATAACAAATAATGCAAAGATGGTTCATCCATAATCATACCCGCTTTAGTAAACGTGTGGACCAAACGAGTGAAAGACACGCTTTGAAAGTAATCGCATCGTGGAATATTTGGTTATATCATATAAACCCTCTAATGGTTTTAGAAAACCCAAATGAGAAAATTATAAGAAATAACCCTCTTTATAAGCCTTATTCAAAAATATCTTTCATTATAGCTTTAATTATTTTAGTCAATTTTAAGCATGATTAGACAGCTGTGCCCTTTAACAAATTTCAAACAAATTAAAGTGATTTCGATTTTTTTTATCTCGCCATTAAGATAAAATTTTAAAATTAAATCCTAATTTCTCTCTGTTATCAAATATTGTCTATCTCGTTGTCCCAAAAAGTAGAGATGACATCAAGGTATGTATTTTAGGTTTATAAGTTTATTGATTATATTCATAGAATTCCATAATTGAAGGGTTGAAATTGATTAGACATATATGTAAATTAGAACACTGTATGACTTTGGTAACTTAAACCTGACTACTAGCAGGCAAATCAATTAGTTATTAAGCATTGTATTATTAGTTTTTAGGCATTACGTTTTTTATTTTTAGACATTATGAGACTGATTTTTAGGCATTGTGTAACTGAATTGTAGGCATTATGTGACTAATTTTTGGACAATGACTTAAAATCAATTACGCAATACTCTATTAACTAGTCACATAATGATTAAAAATCAGTTACACAATGCCTACGTCATGCAATGCCTAAAAATTAGTCACTAATGCTTTATCAACCAGTCATACAGTACTTAAAAATCAATCACATAATGCCCTATCAACCAACCACACAATACTTTATCAACCAGCCATGCAATATTTAAATATTAGTAATGCAATGTTTAAAAACTAGTCATGTAATACTTAAAGCCGGTTATGCAATGCCTAAAAACCACAAGAACTACCAAATTCTATTTAACAAAATCAATAACTTCAAACAACACATCATATTCTATTTAATAACATAATCAACGAATATTCGTACTTCGCGAAAAATGCTTAAAATGCTTAAAAGTTTTTCTTCATGTATCAAAAATCACTCTAAAATGCTCAAAATGTTTAAAAAATTTTCTTTCTGGCAAAAAATACTCTAAAAATGAATGGTCTAGTAAAGAAGACTCAAAGGATATAAGTCAGTTTGAGGAGCAGACCTAAACATATGGGTCGGTTTTATGAAGGGCAATTTTATCCAAAATTAATTTCTCTTGGTCTAAAATAGTTAAAATTACGAAGAAGGCTATTTTCAAAAACACCTTATGTATGAGGAGTATTTTTAAAAAAAAAATCATTGGAAAATTATGTCTCTCTATATAAATAGAGTTGGAAAAAATTAATTGATGACAAAATCTATTTTGTAGACTAGAACCTATTTTTTTCAATGAACCTAGTCAAGTCTAGGATCTCATTAGGAAAATAGATTCACCTAGATGATTCATTGCATCTAAATAAAAAAAGTCGATGGTGACTCTTCTTTTACGTCGAATGTTTGAGTTTCATGACTCATATCTTATAATATAAAAATTATTCTCTCTTCACATTACGCTATCATTCTATCTGCCTTTATCTCATGACATCGATTCAACATAGAAAGAAAACAATAGAAAAGGGAAAAAGAAAGAATGGCTAACTTTCATTTACTCTTCTCAAACTTTTACAATGGAGAAACCATTTTTTGTGGACCCAGAAGGAAAATGATATGAGAATGTCTTGGTCTTTGCTTTATACAAGTCTTCGCATCATGCAAATCAACGTCAGTCGTTTGCCCGATCGTTACTCCATGAAAGTGATCTTCTTAACAGTTGCACTACCACTAGGCGGAGAAAGGAACAAAGAAAAGTCTTGTTGCACATGCATTAAACCAGCGAGGACTTGACTTGGTCAAATCATTGAGAAGACTGAGACACTGCTTTGGTTAGGCTCTCTTATCAAGTGAATAAGGCATATGGGTTCCAAAAATTCCATCCCACAAGACCAAGAATGGTTGAGAGAAGTTGTATTTGCCTCCATAAAGCTGATGAATTTTTCCAAAAACGTGTTTGACAAAGGAGCTTGACCTATTGTATAGTGTTTGAATCCAATTAGGTGGAAGAATTTTATTGCAAGATTGTTATTCCATGAAATTAAAATAAATGAGACACAGACATGCTAATGGATCAATCGAGATGTCATGTCCTCTAATGAAGACTTTTTCAATTTTTTGCACAAATCACTTCATGAAGTCTTTTATCTATGAAACTTGAGAAAGTTGACTGAAATAACATAGATGCAGATATAGATATTGATGGATGGTAATTAATTACTTTGTTGATAAAGTTATCATAAATAACTTTTCAACTTTTTTGAAAATAATATGGTGAAAGAAAAACTTGGAATTCGAACAATTAATAGTTTTCTTTCATCATTGAACCAATTACGACCTTTCGTAACTTGCTTCTCATGCTTTTGTTCTATGGATTAGATTTCATGCACATTTACTTCACAGGGTACAATATCAGCACTTACTCTTTGCACTACATACATTGTTGTGCATGCAACTGTTACGTACAAGAATAAGTTCAACCAGTTCGGCAATTTTGCAGCAAAGCATGGGACTGTAATTAATTTTATCCATTAAATTTTTTCATCTTTCAATCTATGAATAATTTAATGCATAATTTTATTTTAATATTTTACAAATATGTGGACAAATCAAATCGCTTCATATTCATATTTAAGTATGTTCTCGTAACCAAATCGGTTTACCTAATAGTAATCAAAATTTTCATATATTAGATAAAATGAAACCTTTGATTTTTAAAAATATGCTTTCTTGACTATATTAAAAATTTGAGATTTCTTTTTTTTGAGAAGAAAAAAATTCTTGAACCTCAATATATAGATCTTCGTTAAGGCATGACTTTTGATTTTATGCATCAAAAAGTGAAACAATACAATTCACTGCCATAATTTTCACCCATACAAAAAGATATTTTTGTGTATACACCAGTCAGAGAATATGTACAAGTTCTACCAGTTCTTGATTGGTATAGTAATTCCATGGCAAAGCCTGAGAATATAATTAACTTTATCATTAAAATTTCTTCATCTTTCATTCTATGAATAACTAAATGCATAATTTTATTTTTTATATTTTGTAAATATATTGACAAATCTAATTACTTCATATTCATATTTAACCTATATTTTCAAAATCAAATCAGTTTGGTAATCAAAATTTTCATATGAATTACCATAAACAATTAAAAATAGAAAGGAGAAATTCAAATTTTTTTTTAAAAAAAACTTCATATAAAATATATGTTATAAAGTGTGAACCACGTCTGGACTAATTCAAAAGCAATGGGATGATTCTTGCCCCTTATTGTACTTTTAAGAAACATGTACAGTAAAGTAGTGAAAGACACCCTTTGAAAATAATTGCATTGTAGAATATTTGGTTACATCATATAAACCCTCGAATGGTTTTGAAAAATTATGTCTCTCTCTAAAATAGAGTCAAAATTAATTTTCATATTGACTTTAATCTAAAAGAAAATAATGTTTTTACTAGCAGGAGCAAAACCTTTGATTTTTACAAATATAAGTTTTGTCGATGCCATTCAAATTCGATATTCGTTGAGACTTGGCCTCTGATATTATGCATTGAAAAGTGAAACAAAGATTATAATAATCTTATGATTATTTCTAACTACTTAATTGTTCCTAATTTAATACATTGGTTAAACCAAGCAATTAATGTGAACTAACTTTGCATTTTATCATTAAAGTTGTTGAATTTTTTTTTTCTCTCAATAAGTAATTTGTCTTGAGTAGCAGAGAATGGTCAAAACTGCCAGACCTTTAAAAATGTGGGAACAAGTCCCATAAACAGAAGCTACCCAGAAAAGCACCATAGTTGAATACAAAACATGAACTCTCCAAAAAACTGAAAGGAACAAAGATGCCATAGTTGAATCACATCAGCCTTACAAAAAAAAATCAGCAAACTCCCACCCATACACAGAACACCAGGCAGGGTCCGAACCTAAAAAAGAAACTAAAACTAAAAATTTAAACAGATAGCTGAATAGGTATAAATGAGTAGACAGTGATATATAAAGAATCAGCTGAAAATTGTAATGTACATACAAAATTTTTCCACAAGCTGTTGAATGGTATAAATTTTATTCTTTTGGTATAACTCAAGATTATTTATGGCGTTCCTAAGATGCCAATGAACCATGTTAGCGTCTTTCACCCATTTATGAAGTAGCATTTCCACCTGCAGCTAGTAGTGCATTGTCAACTCTGTGAGAATTAACACACTTGACAACCCTCAACAGTGGCCAAGAATTCAACTTGATCAGATCAGGGTCCATGTCTCCATGACATTTGATACTTTCCAACCTCATAGAAAGCATTCCCTGAAGGGCGCAAGAACTAAGATTACTTTAGAAGGATAGTTGTAGAGACGCTCTGTCCAAAACTTCCAAACATAAATGATGACCTTAAACTAAACACAGGTTCATTGCAAATTGCAGAAAGCCATAACTGCATATGTTCTTGTCCAGTTAACAAAGAAAGATGCTAGCAATGAGTGAAACCAAATCTACAATTCACCTGTCCATCAAATGAGTATAGGTAATTAGACAATGAATGTATTCTTTTTATTTATTTTCAATCAATGTGCTATCTATTTATGGCTTCATCTAAGCCATCTGCTATCTTAAAGGATTTTTTATCAATTCAATTACCATTGACATCTGAATTCCAAACACTGAATTAGATGAAATGAAAAAGTTACTAGAAATTATTGGTCCTTAAATGTCCTGTAGGAGGTTATCCATCGACATATAATCTCTTTTCCTACTACATCACTTTGCGTTCAATTATTCAATCATGAGCTCCTTCAAGATGATTCTAAACAATTTTGTTAGTATCATGCTTCTACTTACCTTTTTTTTTTAGAGTTTAAATCCCAAAAAAGGAGAGAATCACACCGTTTTTGTTTTCGGAAAAAACATCTCAATTTGTTAATAAAAAATGGGAATTACACAAAAGCAACGTTACAAATAAGCAACCCCGAGAGGAGCTGATCACAAGAATATAGCCCAACAAAACTAAATAAAACTAAACACCTACACATTCAGTGTCATCAGCAAAACAAACCCACATACCCCTGGGATCTAAAAACTGTGTTCCTTTTATAGCAGTCAAGAATATTCACAGCTTTCCTAAGATGCCAACCAACTCTATCACTATCTTCTGCACATGAAGTAGCATTTCCATCTCCAGGTAGCAGTGCAGAATTAATCTTGCAAGAATCAGCTACAACTCATAACCTCCACAATAGCCAAGATTTTGGTTGATCAAATCAGAGTCCATGACACTTGCTTGTACAATATCCTTGACCTATTACAACGCCTGAGAGTTTCAGTGGGGTGGGCACATCTAAGAAAGCCCGTGATAGTATTTAAAGAGCACTCCAATTTGGAAAGAACATCCACAGTAGAGAAAGCATTCTTTGGAGGAGGCAGGGGAATGACCAATTTGCTCAATGGAGAGAACATTACTTTCTGCATTAAAGAAAAACAATGTTAGTGAAATCACAAAGCCAACCTAAACTTAAACTCGATGGGTTTTTTCCATCAAGATCAGTAATCTTTGGCCCTTAAAAGTAGTTTTATCGATATGTTACATGTTTAGCGTGAACTCCAACGTTATTGTCTCTTTTGTTTTCTTCTTGCCTCTAAAATTTTATAATCACCATTTTGATGAGAATAAATTAATTTGCTTTGATACTTACAATTTTAATTAAGCATCAGTTCAGGGAAACAAGAACTAAGGCTACATGGAAAAGATAGCTGTAGCAGAAGCCTCTTGCGATAATGACTTTATACATGTATAATCACTCCGTCCAATGAGACTTTCATCAACCTCAAGTCATCAAATATCCTTTTAACCTGCACAAAACTTGCAAACATAAATGCTGAGCCAAAACTTATAATAGGTTAAATTGTAGATTGCAGAAGGCTTAACAACCTTCCTGGTTTATAGATCATCAAGTTGACTACTTGAGAACGAAGTGAGCAGGCTTTGAAGAGGCATTTCTTCAAAGGGTCCACAATATCTGGCATGAGTTGAAACAAAGGGAAAGAAGATCTTTTGCTTGTGATTGGAAATAAAAGAATGGAGCTGAAGCAGCAATTTCATGAAGTAATAGATAAGTTGCACTGCACTGCCTTCATTTGTTTGTGCAGTCAACTACTCTAAATGGATATCAACTTAGGATTGAAATTTTGTAGCTCTAGATCTTACAACAAAACAGTTGTATATGAGTGTAGAACAGAGAAACAGAGGATGATTATATTGGACTAAGATAAAGAAACTTTTATAAGGAAATTAGCTATGAAAGGTTTGGGAAAACTTATTATCTAGGAAATAGAAACACATACCTTGAGATAACCTGTTTGCTTCCTATACAACGACAATAGATATTTGCTTGATCTTGGTTTGTTAAGATTATTCTGTTCTTAGTGGATGTCTGCTCTTGTTCTGGAACTGAAGAGGTAGGCCCGGTCACTGTTCTACATGCCATGTCTTGTTTCAAATACCCGTATTGCAAAATTGTAACAAAGTCATTGATAATGATTGTCAATGCTACAAGAAGAAAATTTATGATATGGTAGTGAACCTTGCAAGGAGAGATATTATGAGTTCAAAAATTCGAATAATATCCTTTCAATTTCAAATATATTTCGAAGTTTCAAAAGAAAATTTTTACCAGTCGACTTGGAAAAATGAATTTTGATGAAATCACCTAGATCTTCTATGATTCATTTTCCCATTCCTCCTGCAACTGTCAAGCCATTTGTTTCCCATCTCATTCAACACTGTATATCCAATACATACCCAATCACCAATCCACATCCATATCCAATCAACACAATTTTCCAATCAGATATACCATCTACCAATGAATCTGCATCTTCCCCTGGAGGTGGTAGTCGAACACCAACTTCATTGCATTTCCTTGTCAAAGGCGACCCACATAATCTTGGGTTCCCTCGATAAGAATCATTGGAAAATGAGTTGAATTGGTTACTTTCTGGTATGCTCCCTTCAAGGTTGTTGTAAGACAAGTCTAATGCTGATAGGAAAGTTAGACTTGTAAGTTCCGGAGGAATTTTCCCTGAGAATTTGTTCAGTGAAAGGTCCAAAGACTCAAGCTCTTTTAGGTTCTCAAGTGCTAATGGAATTTGGCCAGAGAAGCTATTTTGAGATAAGTTTAGCACTATGAGTGATGTGAGATTTTGTATTTCATCCGGTATTCTACCATGGAAACTATTATTGGAAAGGTCAAGACAAGTAAAAATGGTTAAGATCTTCTCTAAAACCATTTCCAGTCCTTTGATGACAATTGTCACGGAGTCTTGATAGTCCTCCTCTCCAATATAATCTAGCTTTGCTTTGTTGCCATCAATCCTTACCATCATTGCTCTCAAACATTGCAAAAACTCGATGGATAACTCACCTGAAAAGTTGTTGGAAGCAAGGTCCAATATCCGTAGCATTGGAAAAGCATTTTCAGCCTCAGAAACTTGAATCGTGCCATAAAATTTATTCCCTAGAAGTACGAAACCTTCAAAGAAGGTATTTTTCCAACCAAAGGAAACGTGTCATGTATCATATTTTTTCCAAGGTCCAATACTTCAAGCTTTGTGCAATTGGCTAATGACCTTGGCAACTTCCCTTCCAATTTATTCCCACCGATACTGAGCGACCTTAACTGAGTAGCTTGAAGGGAATCAATGGATAGTTCACCAGAGAATTCATTAGAAGCAATGTCCAATACATCCAAAGCTGGGAAAAACAATTTACATTTAAAAGACCCTACACTAAGGTGAACCACCAATCTTGACACTAAAGTGAAGAATAGTCAAAATCTCGCTTTAGTTGGCTAGGTCAAAGACACTAAAACCTCTTACTCTTTTAAAAGAACTTAAAGAAATAAGCACCCTACTTAAGAAAATATTATTTATTAACTCTCAACTTGAACTTGAATGTGTATAATAATTAAGCCTAAAGGTCCTATTTTGTAGTAATTATAGTCTCATATCCTAATAAAACTCTACTTCTAGTTGCCCAATACAATTAGAATAATTAACAAGAGATTTAAATAAAATCGGTGTTCTATTCCTAAATAGAACATGACTAGCCTAAAGTCTTTATACAAGTAAAAGAAGAATTCTATTATACCTATATTCCTAAATCAACTAAAATTAGTAAAAACTAAATTAAATAAAATACAACCCTAGATACTCCAACATCAAAAGGTCCCAAAGAATTCCCCCGAAAGGCTACAGATCAAGAGTGTAAAAAAAGCAAGAGTCTTCATCACAGTAGTGAAGGCGATTGGGATGAAGTTACTGATAAGTAGACGAACGCTCTCGATGAGCCTATCTTTGAAGGTAC